GTAGTAGTAGCAGTAGTAGTAGTAGTAGTAGTTGTAGAGCAGTAGTAGTAGTAGTAGTAGTAGTAGTAGTAGTAGTAGTAGTAGTAGTAGTAGTAGTAGTAGTAGTAGTAGTCGTCCTAGTAGTAGTAGTTGTAGTCGTCGTCGTCGTCGTCGCCGTCGTCGTCGTATTATTATTAGTAGTAGTAGTAGTAGTAGTAGTAGTAGTAGTAGTAGTAGTAGGAGTAGTAGAAGTAGTAGTAGTAGTAGTAGTAGTAGTAGTAGTAGTAGTAGTAGTAGTAGTAGTCGTCGTATTAGTAGTCGTACTAGTCGTACTAGTCGTAGTAGACGTAGTAGTCGTAGTAGTCGTCGTCATAGTAGTAGTCTTAGTAGTAGTGATGGTGACGATGCTGATGCTAATTATGAGGGCGCTGATCATGATGATGGTGGTGATGATGATGATTGATTGGATAATCCGGCGGGTGCTGCTGATGATGTAGTCGATAATGATGGTGGTGACGAAGATGAGGGTGTCGAGGATGACCAGTGAGACACACGAGCGATGTTGCAATCTTTTTTTTCTAATTTTATTACTCATAGGGTCTCACAATAATCTACATTCAACGCGGGAGGTTGCCCATTAGAATTCAGCCGTCAGAACTTCCTCATTCGTGCCGAAACAGGAAGCTTGGAACTTCAAGGCCGCGGAACAAAGTGACTGTTGCGTCCTGACAGTTCTACATCGCGCCAGAAAACTGTTCGTGTCATTTCAAAAACGCGGATGCACGTGACTGTAGCGCCCTCGCAATCCTGAATCGTTCCTGAAACCGTTCGTGTGATTTGAACATACGAATCCTGGACGCCGTCACACTTTCAGACGAGTGCGCGCGGCGCCAAAGCGAAAGTTTGGGCGCCAATGCGATCACCACAGGAGAGTCCGCCTTCTGTCCTTGAAACTGTTTCAAACTTTTAAGACGAACGCGCGCGGCGCTAAGGCAAGGGCCACATTGTGAAAACGAGCCGCCCTACATCCGTCACGTTGTTACAAATTTCAAAGTTCAGGATCATACATGCGAAACGCTCGGGCCGACCTTCCGACAAGGCTGGGATCGCGACGGGGAAGAGTTGCTAATACGAAAAAGGGATTGACGATGGTGATGACCACGGCCACGTTGACTGATGGTGATGGTGATGATTCTTATGACGAGGAGGGTGTGCAAAACGAGGAGGACACAGGAGGAAAAACATGAGGAGGAGGAGGAGGAAGAGGCGGAAGAGCAGAAGAAGAAGGAGGAGGGAGGAGGAGGAGAAGGGGGGGAGGAGGGGGAGGAGGGAGGAGGAGGAGGAGAGAGGAGGAGGAGGAGGAGGAGGAGGAGGGGACCAGGGAAGAGGGGAGGAAGCATGACAAATGGAGGAAACAAGTCGAGGAGTTGGAGGAGGAGGAGGAGGAGGAGGAGGAGGAGGAGAGGAAGATGAGGAGGAAGATGAGGAGGGGGGGGGGGGGAGGGGAGGGAGGGAGTGGAGGGAGGGAGGGAGGAGGCGCGGGACGGGAGAGGGCCCGCCCGCCCTGGCCGCCCCAGGACCCTGCGGAGGCGCACCCCGGGGAGCGCAAGGCGGGCCCAGCGGCCCCCCGCGGCCCGGCCCCCCGTGGCCCTGTGGCGCCCCGCGGCCCTGCCCCCAATGGCCCGGCAGCGCCCCGCGGCCCAGCCCCCCCGGGCCCTGAGGCCCGAGGGGGGAGCATATCGCACAGACACAGGAGGGGGGAGGAGCGGAGGGAGGGAGGGGTGGTTGGGGGGGAGGGAGGGCGGGAGGAGGGAGGGAGGGAGGGACGGTTGGGGGGAGGGAGGCGTTCGGAGGTCCGCGCGGGTCTCTTGGATCGGTGCTGGGCTGCCTGGCGGCGCCTCTGGCGCCGCCCCTGGAGCGCCCCGCGCACCAGGGGAGGACGGGTCCATCGCCGTCTCAGGAACGCCGCGCGGACCCACGAACGCTTTTCTGCATATGCAACTTTTTCCCTCTCCGAGAGGACCCTCGCGGCCAGGCCCCTCGCTGCCCGGCCCCTCGCAGCGACGGGGGCAAGGCGCATACCGCCCACAACTGGGAGGAGGCTGTGGTCCTTATCCAGCCCCCCTGGGCGGCACCCCTGTCGGGGTTGACACCTAGAGGGGAAAGATATACATTGGTGTCTCGCGTCGAGAAGCCGTGCGCTTTTCTTTAAGGTACCTTGCCTGGGGCAGTGGATATGTCTGGATCCCGTCGCGTTGCATCCTGACGTAGCCGATGCATTGCCGACGCATCGCCGCTACATCGGCGACCCAGGTCGATCCTCCGGCTCCACCTGCTCGGACTCCGCCTTGGTCGCCTCCAGGCACCTTTCGGGTTGGCGCCCGTGATATCTCGTGCGTTCATGGGTGCTGCTGTGTCAGGGCAGATCGCGCTGTACATCGATCGGCGCCTCCTGGATCGAAGAACGAAATTGCGTAGCATGAACTTTCGGAGCACCGCGCGGCTCTGTTAGGTCGGCGCTAGACCCCTCCCATTGACGGCGCTTCCAGCGCCGGCACCCTGGCGCTTTCCGTGCGACAAGGGAGGGGGGCCTAGCGCCGACCCGAGAATTCTGCGCGGACCTCTGATGGGCTCATCGGCTTCGATTTCATCGACCCTGTGTTTAATCCCATTTCGGATCTGCCTAAAGGGTTTTTTCTTTGTGCAGAAACCAGTGAGTGCGACGTGAGGCCTTCCCTGGTTTCTTCGTTTTGGTTCCTCGGGGTTCCTCAGTATCCTCGGGTTCCTCAAATAATGCATTCCCCTGGTCCTGTGGGTTCCTTAAGCAATGCCAAGCGATGCCAAGCTTCGCGAAGAAGTGCCAAGCAATGCCAAGCAATGCAAATCAAGTACTTGCGATGCCAAAAGTTGCAAGGCTTTGCAAAGCAATGCCAAGTCATGCCAAGCAATCTCAAGTAATGCCACGCCATGCCAAGCAATGCCAAGCCATGACAGTCAGTGGCAAGCAAAGCCAAGCAACTTCAAGCGAGACCAAACACTGCGAAGCAATGTCTAGCAACGCCAAACAGTGAAAAGCAATGCCAAGCAATGGCAAAGCAAAGCAATGCCAAACCATGCCAAGCAGCGCCAAACAGTGAAAAGCAGCGAATCAATACCACACCATGCCAAGTAATGCCAAGCGGTGCTTTGCATTGCATTGCTTCGCATTGCTCAGAAACGCTGCCTTGGAAGGAAGAGTCGCGCTGTGTTCATTAGTTTTTTTTTTTCCTGGGGGTCCCATCGGCGTCCACACCCCTGCCCGAGGGGGGTAAAGGAATGCAGCTCCCTCAGTTGTCGACGGTCGGAGGCAGCGGAGGTAGCGGAGGACGGATCCACTCCCAGCCGGCCATCGGAGTCCCTCGCGGCGGAGAATGTCAAGAAGGGGACCTCCAAGGCCCAGCCTGCGGGGGGAGGGTGCATACGGATCGGGGTTGCCAAAGGCGTTCTTGGACCAAGGTGTCCCCTGCCAGGGTTCATTTCATTTCGTTCCGATCGGTCCGATTCGATGCCGAGTTTCACCCGGCTCGATCCGATTCGAATTCGATTTCCTGGCGATCCGATGCGGCCCGATGCTTGCATGGTGTCGTTGTGCTTCTTGACCCAGCCGATCCGATTCGATTCTGATTTCGTGCCGATGCGGCCCGATCCGACCCACGCTCCGACTCGCGCCGACTTCCCAATTCTATGCTGACTGATCTTGTCCTCTTGGCCTCGTGTCGGGTGCTCTGGAGGCCATCAATGCACCCTTGGGAAGGCTGGTGCCTCCCTGGACCAGGGTCACCTTTGGCAACACCTCTGGACCTTGGGGGTTGGGAGCACCGATCGACCCAGGAAGTCGATCTCCCAGCGCCCTGAACATCCGAAGAAAGAACTACATACACATAACCAAGCTTTCAGAGGTCCGCGTGGATTTCTTTAAATCGGCGCTGGACCCCGCTTCTGGCGCGCGGAGCGCCCCAGGGGCGGCTCCAGAGGCTGCCAGGGAGGGTTCATCGCCGATCCAAGAAGCCCCCGCAGACCTCCGACAATTTTTCCCCAACCAGTGCTTCCACTTAGGGCTTTGGGGTTCTTGCTTAGGTTTTGGGTAAGTGTGTGGGTGTGTCGGGGTTTCGCCTTGTTGCCGCCCGTCCCCGCTCGTGGGCGCCTCGTGGGCGCCTTATGCGCTGTGTGTGTGTGTATGTTTATGTGTGTACGTTTATACACATATATATATACATATATATATATGTATGTGTGTGTGTGTGTGTGTGTGGGAGTGTGCGTGCGTGTATCTGTGTCGGGGTTTCGCCGCGTTGCCGCCCGTCCGTGCTCATAGGCGCCTCGCGGGCGCCTGGTGGGCGCCGCGCGTCATGGATGGTGTGTCGGGGTTTTGTCACTTTGCCGCCCGTCGCCGATCGTCGGCGCCTCCTGGCCGCCTTGTGTGCTGGGTGGGTTTGTCGGGGTCTCGCCATGTTGCCGCCTGTCCCCGCTCGTGGGCTCCTCGTGGGCTCCTCGTGGGCTCCTCGTGTGCTGTGTGAGTGTGGCGAAGTCTCGCCACGTTGCCGCCCGTCGCTGCCCGTCAGCGCCTCGTGGGGCGCCCCGTGCGCTGGGTGGATGTGCCGAGGTTCCGTCTGGTGGCCGCCCTGTTTCCGCCTTGCGGGCGCCACGGGCTTACACCACATACCACATAGCTTGCACCACATAGCTTGCACCCCACAGCTTACGACACCTTGCACCACCTATTTTTTTACCACGTAGATCGAGTCGCCGAGCTTACACCACATATATGAGACACCGTCGGTTCCACATTCACAGTGCAACTGTTCACTGTTTGAGGGCCCTGCTGGCAAATTTTTCAAACAAGCAAGCAAGTTCAGATCGAACAAAAGGCGGTAAAGCTTCGCAGGCTTTCGAGTTGTTTTTGGTTGGGGTTCTTGGAGGTTTTGGGCCCCCAGGGCGTGTCCAGGCAGCTACGCCCAGCCGAGAGCCTCGCTGGGACGCTGGACTCGTCTCGAACGGACTCACGCCGGTCATGCAGAGAATGCTCACCCAGAGAAGTCGACAGGAATTCTAGACGCTTCGCTTGGGTGGACAATTGGGGAAGGACTGCCAGACGAAAGCACAGCTGAATCCGTAAAAGGAAGCAACACAGTCCTCTGTACCAGCTGGATTGAAGTACGGTGTGGGAAGTCACGGCGGGACGGCGGAGGCTGTGGTCAACACCGCGTCGGAGGTAACACGCGGTGTGGGTGACGAATCGTCTGGTCCCCCCAGGTGCGGTCGCCAAAGTCAAGCAAAAGAATACTGGGCTTCTTACTCTAGCGTATCCCCACCAGTTGGCCACGACCGTCGTGCCACGTCACGTGGTCACACCTTCCGTGCTTCCCCCTGGCGGTGCTGCTCTGGGCCTGTGTCAGCGCAGTCCCCCACCGCGGTTTGCGCTCTGTTCCCCCGCGGTCGCTGAGGACCCTCCGCCGCGCACGGTGGAAGGATCACGGTGGCCACAGTTCCCACGGGCTGTACCAGCCGGCCTGTGGGATGGCGCGGGGTGTCTCGGCGGAGTCGGCGGGGGCTGCGGAAGCCGCGGAAATCCCCCCTTTGGGCGTGCCGTCCGACTTCTGTCCTCTGTCCCTGCCGGTCGGAGGATCGGGGTGGCTGGTCTCGGCGGCCGGCGGAGGCTGTGGTCAGCACTACGCCTGAGTCAACGCTGTGTGGGTGGCGCATCGTCTGGTCCCCCCAGGAGCGGTCACAATAGGCAAGAAAAGAATCCTGGTCTCCTTCACGCTTGCGTATCCCCACCAGCACACACGGGCAGTCCCCCTCTGAGGTCTGGCGCTTTGTTCCACACCGCGGTCGCAGTGGACCCTCCGCAGCGCATTGTGGAGGGATCACAGATGCCACAGTCCACGTCCCGTGGTCACACCTCGCGTGCTTCCCCCAGTCGGTGATGCTATGGGCATGTGACAGCGCTGTCCCCCACAGAGGTCTGGCGCCCCGTTCCCCCCGCGGCCGCAGAGGACCCTCCGCAGCGCACGGTGGAGGGATCACAGAGGCCCCAGCACTCATCGGAGGTAACACGCTGTGTGGGCGTCGAGCGGTCTGGTCCCCCCAGGGGCGGTCGCAACGGGCGTGCATAAAACGCTTACTGTTGGGTCCACATCGGCCACTGTCTCCACAATGCCCACTGGCATCGCCACTCTCCCTTCCTCCTTTCCTTTTCTGGACTTGCGGCTATCGGCTGCGCCTCTTCTCCTCCTCCCCCACACTCACACTGACGTGGCGTACTGCGCCACTCGGTTTCCCCCCATCGTGGCGTTCACGTGCAGGTTCCTGAGGTGGTCACCCCTATCCATGCAGGGGGGCCAAGTCCACCCGCTGGCACCTGAGGGTGGGCCTGGGGAAGCGGGCTTCCTGTACAAGTGGTCCATCCTTTGACAGGTCACTGCCTTTCCCCCCTCAAGTTCACAACTCTTGCAACGCACATTGTTGGGTTCACTGAGGTCCCCGTCGCCACAAGGCCCACTGGCTTTGCCCCTCTCCCCTCCTCCTTTAATTTACCTGGCTTGCGGCTATCGGCTGCGCCTTTCCTCCCCCTCCTCCACGCACACTGTTGTGGTATACCACGCCACTCGGCTTACCCCCATCGTGGCAACGTTCACGTGCATGTTCCGAGGTGGTCACCCCTATCCCAGCGGCGGGGTGCGATCACCCGCTGGCACCGGTGGGTGGGCCTGGGGTGGCAGGATTCCTGTGCAAGTGGTCCATCCTTTGGCAGGTCACAGCCTTCCCATGTCAGGCCCGTCCCTCCGGCCCCTGGCTTCGCTTGCGACATCGCCCCCGTCCTCTGGACGGACATGTTGCTCGCGTACGCTAACGACGCCAGAGACCGTTATCACGGTGCACGGCGCACGAGGCCCACGGCAACCCAGCGGTCCTTCCACGGGCAGGTCCGCAGGCCTCCCGCTGAGTGGTGCAGCGGTGGTACCACGCAGCGTTTCCCCCCATCCACAGTGGCAAGGAAGTTGCAGGCTGGGACTCTGACGACAAGGCTGCCGACTCCTGTCAAGGTTCGACGCGCCTGTCCTCGAGCACCTCAGGTGCTCTGTGAGTGAGGCTTCCTTCCTTCCCCCTCCCCTCGTCGCCTCCTGCGCCTCTTCGCCTCCTGCGCCTGTTTCCCCTTCTGTCCTCCTCGCCGCGTTTGGCGGTGCCTTTTCTCGAGCTCTGTGCCGCCCGCGCAGCGTTCCCGCCTTCTCGCAGGCTTGGTCTGTGGGGGCTGGCGCCACAGTGCGACCTTCCGCCGGCTTTTCCAGTCTGCTGCCGCCTTCCGTTCCCGGGTCGGCTCTAATGAGGTTCGTTGTGTCCCTCGCACGTGCATTGCGGCGTTGGCCTATGTGCCTTCGTTGCCAATCGTCTCGCGTTGCGCCCCTGTCGAGATTTACCCGGTCTTTGGAACCGTCCTTGGAGCCGCAGATCAACAAAAACGTACCCCCGCCAGCTGCTCTTGCCGCCTGACCGTCGTCTCGCGGCCGCGACCGAAAAAAATATCCCTGCCAGCCCATCCAGAAACGGCGCCTAGGCGAGTAGAGGGCCGTCCTGCGGGACTCTTGGGCGTCCTGGGGGCCTCGGGGAGGCCCCCTGGGGCCGCTTGGGGTCCTCTTGGGGGCCTCTTGGAGGCCTCTTGGGGCCATCATGGGGCCATCATGGGGCCATCTTGGGGCCTCTTGGGGCCTCCTGGGCGCCTCTTGGGGCCATATTGGAGGAAATCTAGCAAAAAAGGAGGGGCGCGAATTAGGGCCCCCCCCCCGTCAGGGAGCCAACATGGGGCCAAATGGCGGTCGTCGGGGGCTCTTCGTCGTCTTGGGTACCTCGGGGGGCCTCTGGGCCGCTTGGGATCCTTTTGGGGGCCTCTTGGGGGCCCCTTGGGGGCCTCTCGGGGGCATCTTGGGGCCATCTTGGGACCTCTTGGGGCCTCTTGGGCGCTTCTTGGGGGGGGGGGGCCATCTTGGAGGATATCGATCAAATAAGAGGGGAGCTTTAATCAGGCCCCCCCCCTCAGGAGGACAAAATGGGGCCAACGCCATCGTAACACCAATGATTTTGGCTTCCTCGCCGAGGCCGTTTTGAAGGGCCCTGACACCTCGCGAAACCCCCCGTCCAGGTCCAGGGGGGTAGGGGGAGGGGTCAAGTTACCCCCTCGTGGGATTTTGCACCGGTCTGTTCACCATTGTCGTTCGCATTCTATCGGTGCAGTACCCTGGCGGTTTCGCTAATCGACGTGTCTTTTGCCGAATGCGTTCGGTAACATTTGGACGCAGTAGAACTTTTCCGCACCCGTGGAATGCCCCCGGCAGCATTCATCGAAATGCGTTATGTTAGCGGAGCTTCTGTCAATCCTCGATTACGGCCAGATCGTCATGACAGGTTCAGGAAGATTGGTATTTTGAGTTTAAGCTTCGGTATGCTTCCCTCCTCGTCCCTCATCCGTAGCCGTTCCAGCACAGGCGGGCAGTCCTGTGCTTGCAAGCGCGCGCTTCAGAGCGGCTCGTGCGTGCGGGCCGCCCGGAATGCCACCAGCCTTCTGGGCGTCGGTGGTCGGTGGTTTAGGGAGTTTCCTCTTCCACCCCTCCTTCTTCCCCTTCGGGGAGGGGTGTACCACTCCCGCTACCTCCTCCCCTAGACCTGGATGGGGGGTTTCGCGAGGTGTCAGGGCGTCCAAAGCGGCCTCGGCGAGGAAGCCCAAATCATCGGTTTCATTATGGTTTTGGCCCCGTTTTGGCCTCCTGAGGGGGGGCTCTAATTAAAGCTTCCCTCTTGTTTGATCGATCTCCTCCAAGATGGCCCCAAGAAGCGCCCAGGAGGCCCCAAGAGGTCCCAAGATGGCCCCAAGATGGCTCCAAGAGGCCCCCAGAGGCCCCCAGGAGGCCCCCAAGAGACCCCCAAGAGGCCCCAAGAGACCCCCCAGAGGCACCCAACATGCTCCAAGAGGATTCGGCGAGAATGTCAATTCATTGATTTCACGAAGGTTTTAGCCACATGTTGGCCTCTTGGGGGGGCACTGATGAAGATGATTCCAAGAGCGCCTGGGAGAGCGCAGTATGACCTCCAAGATGGCTCAAGATATCCCAAGATGTCTCATAATGGCGTCTTCTGTGTGCTGCCCACTTCCCTGATCGAGGCAATTCCTCTGGGCATCGTTTCTGGATAGGCTGGTGGGGATTTTTTTGGGTCAACAGGCTCGCGAGGCGGGTCGAAAGCCGTCCGAACACTAGTCGGGCCGCGACTAGGCAGCAGGAAAAGAGAGGAAAGCGAAGCGAGCGAGCGGGCAGCCACTCAGAAGGAGAGCCAAAACCGATACTCCCAAACCCGGTGGCGTTGGAAATCCCGGTGGCGACCAGCAAGTAAACGCAGCCAAAATGGCGCGGCGGCGCGGCCATACACACGCAGGGGTTGATCGCTCGGTGTGAGTCAAGCAAACAGCACCGTCAGAGACGAACTAGACCGACAGGCACACACGAGACGACATCCGTGAAGTAGGCGACACAAATGCCAAAACATCGTGTCGGCGCAAGAGTGAAGAGGTGCAACCTCATCACCGACAAGACTGCGCACGGCAGTAAAACCTGTAACACTTGTCGAAAAAGAAGTCCATGCAGGAGAAAGTCGGCCAACGAACGTACAGAGCCACACTTGCCGAACCCAAGGTCCAGGTACCGAAAGGTAGGCAGTATAGCGAGAGATCCACTGGAACCCTCCGGTCATCAGTAGGGGCCGACACCAGCCAGGAGCAGGCCAGGGGGCATCTGACCTCATCGAGTGCGACGCAGCACCATTCCCTGTGTGAACCCTTGCATGAAATCCAGACCACCTGAACTCCATCAGGAAGCAGTATTGGGCAGCAGACCCCAGCCGCCAGGGAAGAACCCTGTGAAACAGGAGGGAGAGCACCCCGGTGCAACAGCTGCCGCTGTGGCGTAAGGATGCAGGAGGAGAGGGGGGGAAATGCACGCCAGTCACGGTAGGCACCCCGGTGTGGCAGCTAACTGATGCTGCTGCTGCTGAGTCAGATGTCTCAACCATTTTTTGTTGAAGCAGCGCGTGCCGACCCTGACCTCCCCATTTCCCTCAGTTGGTGGGGTGCGCGTGCACCAAGATAGTGCATTCTCTTGCCTGTCCGCGTCTTCCGAGGTTGAACCACGTGAGCTGATTCGTCAACCCCCTCGTCATCTTCTCGCCCAGCCAGAGCTTCGGGCCCAGATCTCGGCGGACATCGGCTCCCAGCCATTCCCTCCCCGCGCATCCACCTCCCCCCCCCCCGACCGACGTACAGGAATGGCATACAAACTATGATTTTTGTATTTTTCGGCGGCGAGCCCAGGGAGGCAGTGAAAGGGGGCGGGCCTTCTCAGAAGGCTCGGAAGATCCCAGCTTTCTACGCAGTTTTCTAAGCCTCCCTTGAAGACAGAGACAACTTCTCAGAAGGCGCGCGGGCTTCTGAGAAGTCCAGCCGCCTTCTGAGAAGACCTTCTCCTTCCCCCCCTCGCTCGCCTCGGACTTTTGGCCGGTTGACGTGCACTGGTAACTTCGCTGTCGTGGTGCTCTTCTGAGGCGTCCCGCCCGTCCTGGGCCTCTGACGGGCCTTCTCCGCCCCCCCCCGCGCCAGGCGGAGACCTTCCGGGACGAAGCCGGCGAGAACCTCAAGGCACAGATGGAGGCCGCGTCGACGGCCGGCGGGGTGGCGGAGATCGCGTTCGAGAACATAGACAGGCTGACGACGGAGGAGATCGCCGAGGCGGGCGGGGGCGCCAGCGTGCCGCCCCCTCCCCGCCCTGCCCCAGCGCCACTCCTCGCTCGTCGTCGTCGTCGTTGTGCTGCGCTGCGCAGGGGACGAGAGAAGAGGGGGGCAATTGGTCAGCCGGGTCTACAAGCGGCCCCGAATTGATTTTCCATCCAGGCCAGTCGAAACACGAACGCAGCCGCATGCAACATGAGCTAAGCTCCCCCTCGGGATCTGAGCTCCCTCCAGCTTCAGTGGGTCGGACGCTCGCTCTGCGCCTGACCATCTCCTTGAACCCCCCTAACCTTGATGCCCACGCATCATTGTCGAATGCCAGGGCACGGCCATGTGGATGCCTAGGGGTGCCACTACTGATGCCTGGGCATCCGGACGGGTATGCCTGCGCATGCTTCGAGGGATGCGTCGATGGACTTCTCTGGATGGAGCTGAGCGTAGCTGGGCATAGCAGATACATCAGCATCGACCTGGTGACGCCTAGGTCATAGACGTCGAGCTGGCAATGCCTCGGCACTGGCAGGACGGTGCGCAGGGTATGCATCGATTGCTCAAGCTACCAGGGCCAGTGGGCCGTGCCAACAAGACATACAGAGGGGGGGGGGGTATTGCCTCGCAGCGGCAGCTCGAAACGTGCCCCAGCTCCAACATTTAGTCAAAGTGGTGCTCCCGCTGCAGCGTGGGTTCCATTTTCGGGTCATCGCTGTGCTTCCGTCGTTCATACTGGCGCGCTTGCTCCAGCGAAGGCCCCTTTTCTGGGTCCCAGCCATTTTGTATCCTAATCGCCGCTCTCATTTCCCCTCGTCCGCCATCCCCTGGGCCTCCTGCTCCTCACACTCCTTCCACTCCAGTTCCTGCTGCTGCTGTTCGTCCTCCTCCTCCTTCCACATCCTCCTCCTTTTCCTCTTGCTCATCCTCGTGCTCACCCGCCACCTCCTCTTCCTTCTCCTGTGCACGCATCTCCCAGTATTGCGCGTCATACGATGGTGTCTCCTTTAGAGTTTCCGTTCGGCCACGACAAGCGTCCGGGGATAGAGACATAATCAGCGCAATTGGAAGGGATGGGAGGGAGGGATAGGATGTCAGATATGGCGCCAGCACGCCTAGCTTGCCATTCCCCCTTTCTTCACTCGCCTCATTCCTTCCCTTCATGCCCCCTCCTCGTCACCCCGTCTGCCTTTTTGTTTTCCTCCTCCTCCTTCTCCCACCCTCTCGCTTTCCCCCGCTTCCTCCTCCTTCCGCGTTGTCGTCGTGCTCCGTCATCGTTGACCCCGACCCCCGACCCCATTACCCTTCCGCCCTTTGCCTTTCTCCACCTTCGCAATTACCAGAGGAGCAAGATCTCATGATAATGATGCGTTCAAATTTGTCGATGTTATCCTGAGGATTCGCGCAGCTAGTCGCTCTAGAACTCCTGAACCTATCTTTAGCCAATCGTCTGATGGCACCACTGCCGCCCTGAAACCACTCAGCCTGAGTGATACTCTCCTGTGTCCCCTGGTGCCCCCACCCCTCCCACGTTTCCGTTTTTTTTTCACACCTCCGGTCCATGTCCTGGCTCTTTGGCTTCCCCCTCCTCTTCCTCTCTCTCATCTTCTCCGTCGCCTCCCTCCTCTCTCTCCCCTTGCGTGCCTGGTGCGTGCGAAGTTGCATGGCCAGCTCGCGCAGCCTTGTGAAGTCCTCGCGACCGCAACAGTGCAATCTGGCCGAGGTCCCAGGCTACAGCTCCGCCGTTTTACCGCTGGAGATGGGTCGGGATTTGTGACGGGGATGGCCAGCGACCCTCACCACAAACACGAGTTGATCTATGGTGCTCGCTTTTTTTCTGTCGAAGGCTTCTTGGTCCTTCAAAGTCGGTGCCCCCCGCTTCAACTTTGGCCGCATTTTAGGATCGGTGCTTTGCTCCCGCCGCTGAGATTCGCTCTCTCGCACCTGCGCGGGCCGTACTTGGGATCTGATTCCCTCCTTCCTCGTCGCTGCCGTCTCCCTCCATTCTCCTCTTCCGCCTTCCCCTGGCCTTTCTGCTTCTTCTGCTCTTCCTCCCCCTGGCCCTTCTGCTTCTCCTTACCCCCCGCGGACGACTTGTGTGCACCGCACCACGTTGGCGCCTCCTGAGGCGTCGTCGGTTCTCGACCCAGAGGATTGGTACGGTGCAGAGCTGTTCGCCCCCCCCCCCCCCAGAGCCGAACACATTATGCATCGTACCGCTCTGGAGCGGGGCCGGGACGGGAGCCTAGACAGGGAACGGTACGTGGGTGCCGTTCTCGTACCCCCCTTTTCACCCTGTGCCAGGGGGCAGGCGCGAAACCGTGGAACCGGTACCACGTCTGGCGCGCCTGGTACGCGAGCTCGGCCCTCAATCCGTGGGGGTAGCGTCTGCGCCGCCGCGCTCCCACCGTCGGCTGCTACAGTCGAGACTCTGAGATCTTGGAGTCCCTTGGAGACCGCAAGCGAGCAGAAGCGCTCCTCTGGCTGTTTTCACGTCTTCTCCCGCACACCACCCCCGCCACCACCACCACCTCGATTGGTGGAGGGGATGGGGTGAGAAGCCTTTGAGATGACTCTGGGAAGCCTTCGGGAACCCTCGTTGAAGCCTGTGCGGAACCTTTGGGGAGCTCCTGATAGGCCTGGACTTGTGTGTGCGCGTTTCGTCAACCGCTCCAGGCCATCCTCCTCTTCTTTATCCAGCTGCCTACGGCAAGTCTCGCCCCCGTGCTTGGTTTGTGGGTATGAAGCCTATTGGATGTTTGTTGGCATTTCGTGAGAGCCTCTCGGGCGCCTCTTGGGGGCCTCTTGGGGCCTCTTCTTAGGGGCTTCTTAGGGGCCTCGTGGGGCCTCCTGTGGGCCTCTCGGGGGCCTCTTGCGGCCTCTTGGGCGCCTCTTGGGACCCTCTGGGGGCCTTGTTGGGCGGAAGGCTCGGATGTTCGGTTCGTGCTCCCTCTCGGGCTCCTTTTGGGGCCGTCTTGGGGGCCTCTTGGGTCGTCGTTGGGCGCTCTTAGGCTGTCTCGGGGCCCTCTTGGAAGTCTCGTCGGCCCCTTCGGGGTGGTCTTGGAGGTCTTGTGGGCCGCCTTGGAGCGGCAGAAAGCCGACAAGGCGAGACTGCCCAATTCCTTCACAGACCGAAGGGAATTCGTTATTTTTTGCCTCTTGGGGCCCTCTTGGGAGGCCTCCTGGATACCTCCTGCACCATCTTGGGGGCCTCCAGGGCCGTCATGGACGCCTTAGAGAGTCCCAGGGAAGCGGCATGGCCGCCCAGGGACCCCACGGTAATAGGGGCGATGCAGTCAGGGAAGCGTGACTGGGGGAGGGGGGGCGGGGTCCCTTAGAAGTCACAGAAGCCCTGCCCGGCAGCCCTTGGCATTCTTCTACGCCTCAGTGTGCCGCAGGCACGATGGCGGCGCGTCCGTTACTCCACTTCCTTTTGCCATTTTAGTTACAACTTCGGATTCTCAGTTCGAGTGGGCAAGACACCACACGTTGCACTGAAGAGCTTTTGAAGAGCCCCTGAAGATATTCCGAGGAGCTTCTGAAGAGCCGCTCAAGAGCCCAAGTGCTTCTGATGCATAACCTTACGAACCAGATGGAATCCTGAGGGATCCGAAGGAATCCCATGGGACCCATAGGACGCCTGAGGGGTCATGAGAACTCTCAGGGTCTTTGGACTTTTTGACATCTTGAAATGCATTGTTATCCAGTACATGTGATGCACAGAGGGAGCGGTCGAAATGACTAATCGTACACGATCGGCCCGAACGTAGCGGTTTTATCGAGCTTGCACCGGGATGTTTATGATAGGGACCCATTGTGTCCATACACGCTCTTGAGAGCCTTCTGTTAATCAGCGCAATATTGAATCGCTCCCAGAACATCGCAACCACTTTGGCCCGACCGCAGCCGGTTGTGCTCCGCCCACAGGTTGTCGACGATCAATCCAAGGGGCTAGCGATCAGGCACGGGATGGGGGTGAAGGGCGGCGAGGGAGAGACTGAGGCGGAGACGCAGGGGGACGGTCAAGACCATTTTGGTTCAGGAGGAGCCCCCGGGTGTCGGGCAGTTCCTCAGACCTGGGTCGGGGAGCCCGGTCGTGGCCGAGGCTCGCCGTGGCCAGACGAATCCTCTGTGTTTCCTGTCTGGCGCTGCTCGTGGTGGCACGACGGCTCTGCCTCCCCTCGCGCAGGGGCCGCAGGACGGAGGGTGAGCCTCTGGTCGGGGGGGGGGGACCTCCCCCCGCAGGGAGGACGGGGAGGGACAGGAGGAGAAGGGGGAGGGGGAGGGGGGGGGGGGGGGGGAGGGGGAGGAGGGGAGGAGGAGGAGAGGGAAGAGGAGGAGGAAGAAGAGAAGGAAGGAGGAGGAGGAGGGAGGAGGAGGAGGAGGAGAGGAGGAGGAGGAGGAGGAGGAGGAGGAGGAGGAGGAGGAGGAGGAGGAGGAGGAGGAGGAGGAGGAGGAGGCATGAGGAGGAGCAGGGAGGAGGACAAGGAGGAACAGCAACAGCAGCAGGAGCGGGAGTGGGAGAAGCGGGAAGAGCAGGATTACCAGGGGAAGGCAGGGGAGCGAAAAGGAGCCGGGCGACAAAGACGGGGAAGTATTCGGATTCAGACAAGTGGCCCGCGCTTGAAGGAAACGCAATTCCGTAGCAGTGAACATGACACGCTGAGATCACGACGGCAACAGGCGATTCGCCAGTGTTGCAAAGGAGGTGGCACTTGAATGTGGCACCATTGCGCAGTTTTGCCAACGTGATCTGCGCTTCGGCCCGTACACACCGTGCTGGGTGATAGTCTCCCCGCGTGAACGGGGGTGGGGGCAGGGTCCACGAGGTCGTCGTTGCCCGGTCGCCCATTCCGGTTGCATGCCAGTGCCAGTGCGCGGCGGAACGGCGCTTGACAGGATCAGTTCTGGCTGTTTCCAGTTGCAGCGTTCGCGCTCAGTGATTGTGCGCGCGCAGTGCTGCGCCTCTCAGAACGCGCTTGTGTCGCAGCGTGCTGAGGCACTTCCGTGGC